TTTCTCCAGCCCTGTGTCAGCTCCTGGCAGCATCAGGACCCTCCTCCATTTCACAGCTCCTTCACAGCCCTTACATGCACCCACAGCCCCTCTTGGGAAGCTTCAGAAGCCCAGGATGCAAACACAAGTGGTTGCTTTGTGTCCATGGCACAGGGGCCTGAGGAAACATGTTTTTCTCCTGCCACTATTACCCATTGCTATTTGGCTTGGGGAAGCTCAGGAATGCTCATTCTGCACCCAGTGTTTTCACTGACGGCTGAAACATCATGCAAAACCAAAGAAAAGCAGCAGACTTCTTTTGAGCTTCTTCCAGTTACAGGTAACTATCCCCTTTGGTCTGCACTGATGCAAACCAGTCAGAGCAGCCGTGCTGATTCTGCAAGAACCACAGTGAATTTAGGTCAAGACCTGCCGGGCAGCTCTGGCCCAAGGCCCATCATCTCTGCAGCACCAAGCACACCTTATACTTGCTGGGATCTTTCCCTTCCTTTTGCTTCCATAGCCTTTCACATGCAGGTCGCTCAGAGCCCCAGCCTGCAGTGGGCAGAGCAGTGCTACATCCTACAGCAGCAACCCCAGCACTGCAGCACCAGCTGCCCTCCAAATAGCCCAGGCAAACAGAACACAAACTGCTTGATAAAAAAGCATCAGGGAAAAGCCCCAGCACAGCTCCCTTCCTTTCCTCGGTGAAGGACCCTTGTGCTGAACCCCATCTCACCGAATGCATCACTGCTTCTCCTGATAGGTGGAAGTTTCTCAAGTGCTCTGCTTGCTGTCACTGCTCGTTTCACTGCCCCATGCTCTGGGTATCTTTTTTCCTCTCACAGTTCCAGTACATGGAGATAAAGAAATCTAAAGCAGTATCTCAGTGTGGGGGCCCTGACACCTATGCTGTAAGAAGGGGACTCTGGGAATGTCCAAAACTGTGAGCTCTGGTGGGACTTGGAGTGATTATTTCTTCTATGTTTGTATTTTGCTCTCTGCAGCCTTCTTACACTTCCCTTTTGCAACTGTCAACCCTTTTCCCTGTCTTTCTTCTGGGTCTGTCCCAGGGGACACCCACCCTTACACTACAACCATGCCACAGAGAAGATGGAAAGTCTTTGGAAAGTACCAGAAAGCTGTGAGGGTCAGCGAGGACTCTGGCAGCAGCACTGCAGTCAGAATGAATGCTGAACATGAGAGTGCTCTTCTTGGGAACCTTCCCAGACCTTCAAGCCTACACGAATAAGCCAGCATGAATGGAGGCAGGAAAAGAGGAGGAGATGCATTACCACCTCAGCACCAGCTCCCTTAACAGATCCATGTCCTGGCAGCAGCAGAGTCCAACCCTCCCTTTTTTCTAGTTCCTCAGAATATTTTAAAGATCAGGAGAAAAAATCTGAGTGATGCCAAAAGTACAATTCCTTCATCCTCTGCCAGCAACTCATACCCTGTCAGCAGGCAGCTGGGGAAGGGAAGCAAAGAGAAGACAAATGTGTATTGCTGTCATCCCTGCTGCAACCTCAGAGAACATGGTCAGTGCACTGCGAGCCAAGCAACAGAGGAGAGGTAAATGGACTCCCCAGTTGCCTGGAAAACCTCCTCCAGAACAAGCCATCGAGGAGTTGCATAGGCATAGGCACGGTGTTTCTCAGCCATGAAGTTCTCAGGCCTCACGTTAGGAAGAATCAGAAGTTGTAACCAACAACAAATACTCTCCTCACCTTTTCCTTACTATGTGTACACCCCGTAGTATGCTGCAATCCTCCTTACCCCCTGGTGATGTTCAATTCCACAGCCACTGCCTTAGCAAAGGGAGTGGAACATGGACAGACTGTGATTTTATTGAAAGCAGAAGGTGAACAAAGCCTTGCAGATAGCTCACCCTCATTACAGCGCTCGGACATGGCAGCTGGCCCATCCTGCTGGTGCATAATCCCTCTGTAGTTCTTCTTCACCACTATCTCAAAGACATTCTGACGCACACACTCACACAGGCTCTCCAGAGGAGCCACCGAAAATAGACTGAGGTGTAAAAGTTACCACCGAAGAATAGCTCTTTGATCAGCTGTGGAACGTGAAGAGGGGGGATGCAAAAGCTGTCACAGCATCTCCTTTCCTGGGAGTCAGGAGACTCTAAAGACAAAAAGAGTCGAACCAAAATGGATGAACCTCAGAGAGCAAAGTGCAGCAGAAGTGGAGGAAGTTGAGGCAGTCTCTGCACACACGGGACTCCATCTGACAGTGTCTGCTGTGTCTGCCTGGGGAGTTCCAGCTCTCCACCCTTCTGCCATGGAGGTAAATTAGCAGGTAAAGCAGCAGCAGAACTGGCACCCCAAAGATTTACACTCCTCTCATTCTCTGCATGAGGATTGTCATCTGCAGAGAGAGAGCAGGGTTCCAGCTCCTTGGATCCGCAGAAGAGGAGCTTTTTAGGCTTCCACTGTCCCACTGATGGCTCTGCCAACTTCTTGCTCCTCAAAGACCACAACCCTTTTCCCTCACTGCATTCATCAATGACTTTAAGCCTTTCTTAGACCTTTTTATTTCTTGACTATAAACTCCTGAACTCAAGGCCTGCCTCCTTCCAACCACATTTAGGCTAGAGCCTTAACCGCAGCCGCAGTCTCCTGGCAGTGCAGGGAGCATCCATGTAGACAGGGTTATTACAGTGGAAACCAGCCCATCCCACCAGGTAAAGATGCCCCTAGTGAAAGCCCAGAGTGCTGTGAACAGAGATGTACGTGCACTGAGGAATCAGCTCCTCGGTGTGCTGAGCTTGGACCTCAGCCACCAACACATGCCAGGAGGAATCTAACTACAGGATATTGGTGGGCTGGTAGAGCCCTAACACTGCTCTCCTGCTCTCTGATGAATTGGAGCAGATTCAGGTACGTCTATGTATGTGCTATGTCTTCAAGTCACGTAGAAGAGGCTCTTCCTTGGTTTCACTGCAGGCACTGGATGAACGCTATAGCTTAAGCGCTGTGCTGAGCCAAAGGTGAAGTGTTCAGAAGGTTGTGAAAGCCATACTGAGATACAGAACTTCTGAGGAAGGAAAGAGTTGGTTCCCCTGCTATTGGACTCCTGGCGTGGATAAGAGGGAGACAGATTTTCTAAACATTTTTATAGGACAGCAACCTTCCTACCAGTTATTTATAAAGGAATGCTAGAGTGGGTTAAACGATACACTGCAGGACTGCAAAAGATGACTTAAATAATGAGGATTCTTATTTTTTCCTCTTTAAACATTTACAGTAATCTAGGAAACTTTATTTCCAAGGCAATACTTAAGGACTCTGTAAGGACTGTGTATTCCATGTGTACCGCTCGCTGCTTGATTCTTATCCATAGCAACTAAATTCACTGGAAGTATGATCTCAAGCCTGATACACTGGGGGGCAGTGGGTACGAGCACAGAGTGGGTTTAAGCACTGGTCAGGGGAGCCCAACACTAGTGCATTATCCAGGAGTCACATTAGCTCCACTCCCATGTCCTCCTTATCTACAGTCAAGAGAGGAACAAGCAACTAGGAGCAACCATAAGGATGAGTAGAAGGTCAGCTGTGTAAATGTGCATAAGAGAGGGTCCTACTCCTTGGCTTTGACCAGGGTTCCACAGATCTCAGGCCTTGAACACTGCCAGGGATGGGGAAGCCACAGCTTCTCTGGGTACCCTTTGCCAGCACCTCAGCACCCTCACAGGGAAGAATGAAATTTCTTCCTGGCACCTGGGGTGGGGGTGTGCAGAAAAGCACCAGCAAAGGCTTCAGCTGCAAGAAGCAGCTACAGAAATGGCCATGATAAAGAACACTTCTGCCTGGCCTCCTGGGACCTGCCCAGCCTGTCCTGCACTGCCTGTCCAACCCCTTTCCCCCCTCTGCCTCAGGCACCTCACCTCCACTGCATTAAACCCCAGCCTTTTTCTACCCTTCCCTTCCTACCACGATGGGTTGTTCTTAAATACTGGAAGTAATGTGTCACTGGAGTTCTTATGTCTGAAAGAAAATCAAGGAAAATTGCAGTACATTGTTTGAAAGCCCCTCCATTCCCAAAGGCAGCACAACCCAGCCAAGGATAACTTGAAGGTCATTAGATCCAAGAGAAAAGGAGGGGACTCATTCAGCTGCCTGCCAAAGGCAGGTGGGACTGGGCTTGCTCTCTCAGGGAGAGGCATTCCCTGCCTGCAGAGGTTTAAGTACACACACAATTTACATTAAATGGTAACATCACTCTAAATTATGGTCTATCTAAAACTGTTACCCCTGGCAAAACAGTTCAGTGCTAGGGAACAATCTGCTTGCTGCTTGTTCACACATGGTTTTATGTGGGTTCTATGGGATTTTCTATAGGTTTTATAGTGAATTTATTGTCTGCAAAATGTTTTCTTTCCTCACAGACCAGGCACAGGCCTGTTAGAAGTCAGCTGAGTTTCTCTTGTGCTCTCTTGCCCATCAAGCAGAACTCAGCATAAGCTGATAGGGACAATACCTGTGTATGAAATATTAACACATTAGCTGGCACATGCTGGTGTCCTCAACCAGACAGGCAAATCTCATTTTAACCCCTGCTGAAGCAAACCCTAGAATAAATTCAGATGTTACCTTTGTCAGCAAAGGCAGGTTGCTGCACACACCCCAAGCACCTCAGCTGACACTATAACTCACCTACTTTTATTCCCCAGGGAAAGCAAGACCTAGAAGTGACAAAGCAGCACAGATGCCTTGTGCAGTGCAGTCTTTCCCTTCCCAGCTGAAACGTCTTCCAAGGACATCAGCTGTAGGTGGATTTATGACGGGACACTTGTTCACTACAAGTGAACTTGTTCCCACAGCCCACCCAACCTTTGAGTCACCAAACTGCGTTTTCTCCTCAAGGGCTTCACCGATTTAGAGGGTGACTCCTCCTGCTGAGATCTCACACTAACCCTTTACGATGAATAAATGCACTTTCATTTGAAGGCCTATTAATAAATAGGTGCAAGCACATAAGGATATAAGCAATGTCAGTTCTCTTACCTGAGCCGTTTCTACCTTCGGGATGGTTTTGGGAAAGATATTCTCCAAAAGCCCTTGCTGCTCTGCACGTCCAAGCATCCCAGAAGGCAGTAAAAAAGAAAGAGATTAATATTGGTTAAAGGCCAAGGAAAGAAGGAACAGTTCAATATCAGTATACCGCTGTTCTCCTGCAACAGCCTTTCAGCTTCTGATGACACCAATTTAAACATGGTGTAATAGCAGGGGGCCTTCCTGATAAACACACCAAAAGGGTAACCACAAGCCCAGGACTATTTTAGTTTTCAGCTTCTCTGTGAACCATTGAAATGCACCTGCATTAAACTTGGCCTTGTTTCTGTGATACACATAGGCTAAACCCCTTCTGGCAGCCCAAGGAAGAAGGTATCTCCAGCCCAGCCCCATCCATCACCCCAGCCTTCTACTCTGGTTCTGAATACTCCTATCTGTGAGCCATCACAACTTAGATGTTACTACCAATACCCGTTTTACCTACCTTAACCCTAAGTGCTCAAGCACCAACTATGTCAGCATTTGGATACTTGATTTGAGAGGCCCCACAACACCCCACAAAAGCCATCCTTGGCTCTCTGATGGATTCAGGTCCCATGGATGACTGGAAGCTGACTGCAATATATTAAGCATCAACCAGGCAGGGTGAGCGCAACCCTTATCACACATCAGGGCCTATGTCAGAGAGCAAACCTATGAATATTCCAGCCAGGAAAAAGCTTGCAACCCACACAGGAAAGGCATCCTTGGTCAAGGCATGCATTCCCTGCTCTACAGTAAATACAATCTTCAGGGTCCTACTGCAGGGCATTTGCTGCTGTGCTTGTTCTCCTGCACCCAAACAGACCTGTGATTTGAGAGTCAATACCAGCTTTTACCCAGCCATCCATTTCCCCAGGTTTTAGAACAATCACCCCAAGGTCAGCAGCACCACAAGCAGGGTGATATTTGCCCATGGACAACCCAGGAGACAAACCAGCCACCGACCTCCCTGGCAAGCCAAGCCAACAAAAGCCAGCAGCCAGGCACTCAGCCTTCAAGCACACCAGCATCTGCTGGGAGAGGAGACAAAGTCACTGCAACAGCGGAAGACATAGCAAGGCATCACGTCCACCATCCTCCTCCTTCAGAGGTGCTCAACCTCAGAACATCCCTCTCCAGCTCAAGCTTCCACAACAGGCTATGCTCATAACAGCTAGAAAACATCCAAGTGGAAAATGGCTTTGACCTCCAACACAGCCTTCCGTGATCCTCTTCCGTTTTGTTACCCAATCCAGCAGCATATCCCAATTTGTGTCACCAGGATTTCCCCCCACTGCTTTTACACGCCTCCTCCCAACAGGAAAAGATTAACTAAGCTACAACGTACCTCCCAGAGCAACGAGGGCTGGAAGGAGTGGGAAGTCCATTTGTCATCCACAGCCAACAACAAGGGATCAATATGAACGATGAAGTGATTTAATCTCCCAGGGACTAAATTTCAGCACAGCCAAATGCAAAACGCTCTGGAGCAGCACAGTTGGAGCTGTGTGAGAAGCAAGGTTCAACCTGCTGTGTCGTGACAGGTTCAACCTGCTGTGTCGTGACAGGTTCAACCTGCTGTGCTGTGCTGGGTTCAAGCTGCTGTGCTGTGCTGGGTTCAAGCTGCTGTGCTGTGCTGGGTTCAAGCTGCTGTGCTGTGCTGGGTTCAAGCTGCTGTGCTGTGACAGGCTAACACACAGTACCAAGGCTTTGCTGTTTGTGCATTCTTGCCTGTCCAGTACTAGGTTGTGCCTTTAGACACTGGGGTAGGAGTTGCCCCAGCTGTCTTCCTCGGTGCCTAAGCAACCCCAGAGATGGTCACACAGGGGCTCTGTCACATGAGGGAGCTGTACAACTGGCACACAATCTTCACTACAAAGAACAAAGGGATGACCATCACGGCTCACCCATCCAGGAGGACAAGCACCTCATGGATGTTCCTTCACCCACCACCTTTCTGCCTGGGCAAAAAGGAGGACTTGGTCCTGGGGCAACACACAAGGGTAAAGTTGGGAGCTGGAGTGTGGCATCTTCACGAAAGTGGACGAGTCACCATGCCTGGAGGTGTAGATGTGGTGCTTAGGGACATGGCTTAGTGGTGGGCTTGGCAGCATTTAGGTTGTTGATCTTAAGGATCTTTTCCAACCTAAATAATTATATGATCCTATGGTTCTAACATCAGGCTATGCAGCTGTAAGAGCATTCCTGAGCTACTCCTCCACTCTACCTTAGAGGTGGTTAAAGGCTCATCCAAAGCCACGGCTGATCTCACACTGCACTGGCAACAGCCTTGTGAGCAGATGGCTGCTCTCAAGACTTCCAATATCTCTTCCACCAACGCTGCTGGGACTCCAAGGCTTCCCATAGAAACATCTGTCCTTGCAAGTCATCATCAAAACCATTCACAAACAGGGCACTTACACCACTGGGAAAGACTTTGAAGCTTCTCTGTCCATCAGCAGCCATTCCATGTAGAGAAAATAACAGTGAGGAAGTTCTCGGGTAAATTATCAGGGAGAGAACATGGAGATTTACACAAAGAATACTGAAATACGATGATAAAATAGTCTAACTACTTCAAAAGCTCCAAGAGCATGTTAGCTCAGCTGTCATTCTCTCGATTCATCTCTGCCAATGCCTGAAGCTGATTTGTCTGCCTCAAACCAGAACCAGTGTTTGCCCTTAGCTTGCAAACCACAGACTCAAAAACTAGTACCAAGCGCTTCCTAAGACCCAAAGTGCAAAGAGCTAACATGGAGCCAGAGAGAAGCACTGCCACCCTCCGCCCCACCTTGCTCCACAGTGAAGACAGTGTCAATCAGAATGAGAGCCTGAGTTCAGAGGTGCTGCAGTGTCTGCAACCTCACGCTCCCGTTGCCCCAAGCAGATGAGGTAGGAGGGTAAACCAGAGCTCCCAGAGCCCAGGGGATACCCAGACCTCTCCTTGCAGGCAGAAGCACAGTGGCAGAGCACAGAACCACTCAAAGCCACTGCTGCCTGCCCAGGCTGGACTTGCAATTGCGTCACTGCCACTTCCACTGCTCTCCAACGCTGCAGGCCAAGCCAAGAGCAAATGAATGTGAACACTTGATCTCAGTTATCCAGTGACAGCTAATAAGGCAATGAGGCCTACATAGCACAAGGTGCCACCGGGGTTTTCCAGCCAATTACACTGCAAACTCAGGCTAAATTTCTGCCTGTTATCTCAGTGGTTCCCTTCTACATTCCTGCTTCCTCAGTGCCATCGGCTTCTCCTTGGCTGGGCCTCAGCTCATCTCCCACAGATGTCCATGCATGCCCTTTGCCAAGGGGACTCTGCTGGCCATGCTAACTCCTTATGCCTGGTCTCCCCTTGCCAAGCCTTTCGTGTCCCTTCTCCCTCACTGTGCTCACAGTCACCCCAGTTTACCAGCATCTGCCCATATTGTTATCGTGCCATTCACCCCTTCTCCTTGGTAGCCACTAACTTGATCAAAATAAAGCCAGAGCCAAAGGCAAACAGATGGCAGTGCTCTATTCATCTCATTCTTTCCTATTTCTTACAACACACTGTTAATACAAGTCACAAAACTCCCAGCTCAGTTTTGTCTCTACTCTCACAGTTTAAGTCCCACCAAGTGATCTGATGACACTTGGCAGAAAATGCTTCAAGTGCTCTCAGAGCAGAGACACATCAGGATAATTCAACTGGCAAGAGATTAAAAAACAAAGCCTTGTTTCACATAAACGTGATGAAGTACAAGATGCCTCACACATACAGGGGCAGATGAGCTATAACCCTGAGTGTATGACACTGCAAGAGCTGCATACCAATGAGCAGGTAGGACCAAGAGCAATCAGCTGACAACGTGACAAGTTTAGCCCTGACTCATCTAGAGAGAGGGATTCATTTTAGTGGCAGATCAGATCTGCACGTTACACAGTCAGCACGGCCGGATTTAACAAAAGGATGTCAAGCAGGCACCACAGCCTCAGTATGCTGTGCTATGGGGTCTAACCGGTGAAGACAGCACTGCTGGTGCCTCAGAGAAAACACCACCAGCTTCTCCACCAGCATGGCTTCAGGAAAGCGGAGGGTGGGATGGGAGCACAGGCAGCTGCCCTTCTGAGGGCACTCCTCAGTACTCACTGGGCATTAGATGTCAAACCTGGACTCAGGTCTGAAAGAGAAGTCGGCTGAGACTTCACTAGAAGGAAGGAAGCTGCTAAGTAAGATCTCAGTGACAGCGTGATGAGCATGGAATAGCCATCATGTGTCTGAAACAATCACATCAGCAGGATAAAAGGGGCCTCAATGCCTACTAGCAGCCACAAGAAACTGATGCGAATACATGCAATCCACCAAACTGACACTGAACCAAGTGAAGAAATGAGTACTGAAATAGAGATCCAGGAAAGACCTGAGATAACTCCATTTAGAGCAGAGCAGCAAGGTAAGCAAAACCTGGACTGTTCAGCAGCACTGTATGGAAAAATAAAGAACACCCACCACCTTCTTGTGCTCCTTCCGAAGCAATGCCCAGAGGAGCTGCAGCAGGAATCTGTTGTGACAGCATCTGACAGTGCTGCACCTCAGGAAACCAGGAGAGAAAAGACCTCCTGCATCATCAGGACCTACGTCCTCCTACAGCAGCAATCCTCCCTTGTCACTAAGCAGGGATGGGAACACTGCCAGCACATCCACAGGTACCAGGTCCGTCACTAAAGACTGCTGACACCTACGTTGTTTAAACCTGATAGTAAGAATACCCTGACAAAAACCAGTTGTCTGAAATATCTGTTCAGGGAGATTGTAGCTGGAAAAATTGTTTAAATGTTAGAACTGCAAATTCTTGCTCTCAAGAAAGGGAAATCTGATGTCAGCAACGGACCTTCAAGTCAAAGACCCCACACTTCTGGGCGAATTTCTACTCAAATCTTGGACAGGAGGAGAGAGGATGGAGCCAGCAGAAATTAAAAGAAGGTAACCCAAGCATAAGAGTTCAAACCACTCACAGGAAAACTGACAAGTGGAAAAAGGAATCCAGCCTCCAGGAAGAACCCCAGCCTAAGACCAAAATTGCTCATGCAGCAAGAAACCTGGAATAAGGAACGCATTGAAGTACCTCAGCACTTGCCAGAGCAAGATTTACCCTTTCACAGCAACTAACACTTGGTGGCCCTTGTTTAAATCCACTCTCTAGTCCACAGGGAAGGAGTGAGACCAAATTCTCATCTCCCTGTGGGGTACCTTGGACTAGACACCAAAGCCCTGGAAATGGGCAGGATGAACCATGCTTTCAACTCCAATATTCCCTGTGCTAACTATAGCACAGAGAGATGGTTCTGGAACACGTGAACACAAGTCTCATGTCCGTCTGCTCCCAAAGAAAAGCCATAGGGCAGCATAACACAAAGCAGGGCTGCAGGAGAAGACAGACTTTTAGCCACAGCTGGGGTGCCAGTATTTTCTGTAGGCGTCAAGGCAGCAAGGACAAAGAGAGCCCATTTCTAATGGTTTTGGTTAATCTACGCCCTTCAAAGTGTGCTAAGGAAGCCAGGGAGTGTTTATCAGACACCACACAGGCCAGGAGCCTGAAGAGAACCTGCACCAGCCCAAACCTGCAGCAGCCTGGGACTGTCAGCAGAGGGGCAGCACCAAGGTCACAGCTCAAGGACAACTGCGCCATCCCTGCCCTAGGAGCTGCAAGGCAAAACCAGCACAGATAGGAAGGAGGCACAGCAAGATCTCACATCCAAGCAGTTGAGATGTGATCAGAGCAAGAGCACGGAGCCACAGTCCCTTCCTGGTGCCATACACAGTTCACTGCAGCTCTCCCAGGAGAAGACAGGACTACAGAGACCAAAGCTGGAAGCATCGTGGATGCTCTCCACAATGTTAGCACACAGCAACTATGCCGTTAGTTTTGAGAGGCTGTTTAAAAGACCCAGCACACAACAAACTGCATGGAGCTTAATTGCTTCTCCTGGGACAGGAGCTTCCCCTGAGTTGCTCTGCAGAGATTTTAGTTTAAGAATCTAGGGAGCTTGCCCCTTCTGCTTAGCTCGCACTACTCACGATAGCAAACAAATGATGCTCTCTGCTAAGGAAGACAATCAAATGCACATGCACGCTCCGGCCATGCATAATAAATACACATTAGTGGCCACTTGGACTTGCAGTGAGTTTCAGGAGATGATTTTTCTCTCTAAATGAAAAGTCAGGAGAAATATGAACAGGGCAGAGCTCAGGAGGTGCAGAGAGACAATCCCAGGGCATCTCCTGCAGCATGAGATCAGGATCCCATAGCTGCCTACACAAAACCACCGGGGACCTGATCATGACAGCAGTGCTACCCACACAGGGATCCAAGTCCCCAGCCCCCTTGGGAAGGACAGAATAGGCTCTCTCTGTAGCTTTCTCTATTGCACGCTGCAGAATCCTCACTGTAGGGAAGGAAGATAAGGACACGAGGGATACCTGAAGGTGGACACGAGGCAGAGCAGAGGAGCTGTGTGTGATGTGCTCCAGGAGGAACCTTTCAGCAGATCATCACTGCTGTGAATGATGCCAAGGGTAGCTGAGACCACACGAGGCAGGGACTGAGCTGTGCCTGGAGGGGCAGGGTGGAGGCACACCGGCAGTGCCTGTCCCCACCAGCACCTTCTCTGTGCACAGACGCACTGCAGGGAGCAGTCCTCTGTCCTCCCCAAAGGCTTTTTTGATTAGGCATTTCTAACACAGGGCATGAATGGGGAGACACACAAAAGCACCTCTCCTGTGCCACACACTATGTGACCAGATGCTCCTCAAGGACTTTATGTTTCTGAGCCCAAGTCCACTCAGCTAACTGTTCTGGTCAAACCACCACAATTCACACCACCGAGACACTTTGGAGCACCCGCATACAGAAGCAGCAGCCTGGTAGCAGTTACAGCAGGTATGTAGCAAACCAGAACCCCAGAGGCACCTCCTGAACTCTACACAGCTAATACTACTTGCGTAGCATCTGCCCATCCCGGTGTAGGCTAACAAATCATTGCATTCAAAACACATTAGTCGCTCCCAACACCCACACTCCCGTTGGAAATGCTGGCGATTACCCAGGATGATGGTTGTGTGTGACTGGCTGTCTAATCCTGTTCCCAGCACCCCATTACAACAGTTATGGTGCATTTTGTGTCATTTCTATATATCCACCTGGCTGACATCTCCCAAAAGGAATCCCACTTCCAGATCTCTGAACACCATTGCAAGCGCTCACGTTTTCGGTACTGGGTATGAACAGGGCGCACCATGAAGTGGGGAAAAGTTCCAGGCTCTACCCAGACAGCTTTCTCCAGAGGCACTCCAGACTTTGAAGGATGGATTTCTTTACAACACAGACAGCAATATATAAACACCTTTGGATCTCTCCGCTTTCAGCCACAAGACCGTGTCTCCTCCCGGCATGGCAGAGATGCCGTAATGCCAAGTTACAGTCACAGAGAGGTGACTGAGATCCCTCAGCAGCACGGATCGAGTCCTACACACGACTCCGGGTTATTCTAACACAATTCTGTCTCACACAAAGGAGACGTTACATAATGCAGCTGAAAAGTTTATTTCCTCCCATTTTTATCGGGCTACCAAGGAGCTACTCCACATCTAAGAGAGGCGCTGCCAGACCTACCCCTGTGCACGGCTGTGCTGCTGGGAACCTGCGCCAGTGCCCCCACACAGTCCCCGCTGACGGCTGTGACACTTGCACTGCAGCGGGGGAGAAGGGTCGGGTCCATCCTGCTAGGCAAAGGGCACTGTGGCAAAGCTCATCAGCGATGGCTTTAAACCTCAGCACAACCCAGCGGCAAACACGGCTTAGAGCGTCTCCCATGTTTGAGACTAAAATCACTGGGACCTGGCAGTAACGAAATGCCACACTGTAGGACAAGCAATATACAAATTAACAGGTACGATAACGATATAGAGCCCAAACCTTTTAACTGGCTAATACAGCGGCCGGGGACACTGCCGGCGGGGGCAGGTGTAGCTGGCTCCGGATTTGCACGCTGTACGTTTTCCATTCAAAGGATCAAGCTCCCTTGCAGCCAGCGGCTGACTTTGCCCTCGGACACACGCACAGATGGCATTCCAGCTGGTGAGGAGCCACCGAGCAAACTGACCGCGCTCCCGGTTCCTCAACATTGGCAAGATCCAGCCCTGACAAATCCGCTTGTGACCCGCTCCTTGCCCCCACGAGCAACTCGAACCTGCCGGGGGTGCCAGCCGGGCCGGCAGCGAGAAGCGGGGATACCTCTGGAGACAAAACACCCTCCGGAGGCTGAGGGTCCGCCGAGCGCGGGGGACCGCGGTCCCGCAGCCACCGGCGAGCGGGCGGGCGGCTGCTTTCGGGGGGCACCGCAGCAGCCATCGAGGGGGCACCGGCGGCGTCCCGCGGGCACAGGCTCTCCGAGCTCTCCCAGCCCCGGGGGCTGAGATCTCTGCCCCGCTGGTCAAGCGCCGGGGTCGCGCCCGCAGCCGCCCGCCGGGGCTCGGGGCCTTCCCCCCCCCCCCAGCTCGCCGGGTCCCCGGCACCCACCTCACTTTAGCCGCCACCGACGACATGGCCTCGTTCCTCAGCGTCTTCCTTTTGGACACGGCTGTGCCCATATTCGCGCGGGGAGGAGCCGCCGGGGGAGCGCTCATCGCAGGACCCCGCGGCTGCCCATGCCGCGCTGGGGCCGGGTGCCGGCGCCCGCCGCCGCTCGCTGCCGCGCTCCCTCAGCGCCCCGCCATGCCGCGGCACCCCCGCCCCGTCCCGCTCCTCCGCGCTGCCCCCGGCCGATGCCGCGCTCCGCCGCGGCCGCCACCGGCTCATTGACTGCGGCAGGAGGCCGGTACCGAGCACCGCCCCCCGCCCAGGAAGCGCCGCTATATTTGGCCGGCGGCTCCCGCCTCCCCCGCTGACATCATGGCGGCCCCGCCTGAGGGGACGCGGCGGCCACCCCGGGGAAGGGCGGACTCCACAGCCCGCGGGCGGCACGGTTACAGGGCACGGGTACGGGGCACGGTTATGGGGTCTGGCCGGCAGGTTGGGAACAGGCGTCTCTAAAGGGTGTTGTCCGCCTCCGGTTTGTCCATGAGCTGCTTCGTCCATGGTGTCACCTCCCAGAGCAAGCGCCTTCCTTGGGGTCACCAAATGCTGCTCGGCCGCGCCGTCAGCCAGGCCTTAGAGGGGCTTCGGTTTGTAGAATCAGAACTGCTTGGGCTGGAAGGGACCTTAAAATTAATCCAGTTCCAACCCCTGCCACGGGCAGGGACACCTTCCACTAGAGCAGCTTGCTCCAAGCCCCTGTGTCCAACCTGGCCTTGAACACTGCCAGGGATGGGGCAGCCACAGCTTCTCTGGGCACCCTGTGCCAGCGCCTCAGCACCCTCCCAGGGAAGAGCTTCTGCCTAAGAGCTCAGCTCAGTCTCCCCTCTGGCAGGTTAAAGCCATTCCGCTTGTCCAGGCCTTTCTCCACCTTTCTTATACATCTCCTTTGACAGGCTTCAGGAGGGTCTCCCCAGAGCCTCCTCTTCTCCATCTGAACAATCCCAGTGCCTTCAGCCTGTCTTCACAGCAGAGGGGTTCCAGCCCTGACATCAGTTTCATGGAGGTAGGGTTTGATATCCTGGGTTTGGGAAAGTACTTTATAAATCTGCTTTTGAGGCACCTGTGTGGCAGCAGCAAGGTTTCATATGATGTTCACAATCTACAGGGAACAAGCACTCCGTATCCACCGGCTCTGCAAGAGAGCACATGAATCCCAGGAATTCCAGGCCAAGACATTCAGCAATGTTTGACAGAAGGGCAGAAGTTTTGTGGATAAACTTCCTCCAGGCTTTGAGAAAAAGAGGCAGGGAAGGAGGCAGTGACAGCCAAGCAGACACCATGTCCTGTCTGTGCCTTAGGAAAGGCTATATGTAGTGTAAGCTCATGTGTCACTGTCCTTCAGAGACCCTGCGTGAAAGAGACCGAAAGTTTGGGAAGAGCTTCAGTCCTTTCTCTCCAAAGTCAAACCTGCAAGAAAACACGTGAGGATTTGAACAAATTAAGTCTCTTAGGTCTGTTAATCTACAAATTGAAAAGCACAGTAATCCGTGTAGAGAGCATAAAAAAGGATGGGTAACAGACCCAGCTGCCCTGGTGCGTGTGGACGCAAGGAGCGGGATGCAAATACCTCATCGGCTGGAACTGTATCGGCCACTGGAGAATTCATGGTGAATAACAACCTTTCAGAAACGTATCTTCGCTTACAGCCAGGCTGGGAGTGCACAAAGTGCCATGCGTGCAAAACAGACTTCACCCTGCTTGAGACGCGGCGATCTGGAGGTGCACACACAGACAAGAGCAGGGGGACGAGAAATGCATGGGAACACTTGAACAATAAGGTCAGCCTGAGCCTTTGACTGTGCTTCCCCCCCCCCCCCCCCTTTTTTTTACTAAGTAAAGGGGGGAAGTGCTCTTTATTTTGATGTTTAAATATTTTGTCACTTGTGGCAAATGCTATTCTTTGAACATGCGAACAAAAAACTGACAGAGCTGTGTACTCTATCCCTGACATAACCCTCACCACATCTACCTGGAAACCCCCAAAGCTGCTCACAGTGGCATTTCTCAGGTACAAAACAAAACCCAGTGCCAGTGCATTGGATTTCTTGGCACATTAAACTTCTCATGCCTATCCCCCTGCCCTGGGTTGTGTTGCACAGTCGTGTCACCAAAGAGCTTCTAAAACAGAAAGTTAGACTATTTTTAGGGAGCACCTTAAGAATCCTGTAAAGCACGTGAGCCGTGCAGCAGTTACAGTCCCAACAAAGCAGTGCCCGGCAGTGTCAATTCCCAAAATTAAAAAGCACAGATCCCTCCACCTTCATTCTGTTTTCAGACCACTCTCTGCCACATTTGTGCCTCTTGGAGCTCTTTCAAACTCTTTCTTGTCTGTTCATAGAACCATGGAGTGGTTTGTGTTGGAAGGGACCTTAAAGCTCCTCCAACCCCTGCCACGGGCAGGGACACCTTCCACTAGAGCAGCTTGCTCCAAGCCCCTGTGTCCAACCTGGCCTTGAACACTGCCAGGGATGGGGCAGCCACAGCTTCTCTGGGCAACCGCTCTTGAATTCCCTGGCAAGGTCTCACACTTTGAGGCTGGGGAGGGTCCAGCCCAGTGTATGGCTCACTTCAAAGGCACATGGGCTGCTCAGAGCTTGGCCAGGGGGATTTTGAAGACCTCCAAGGGTGGAGATGCCACCACTGCTCCAGTCCATGCCCCAGGGCTGCACCTCTCTCACAGTGAAAGACTTTTTCCACATATCTAATGGGAATTTCCCTTGTTGCAAGAGGTGCCCACTGCCTGTTGGTCTGCGTGCCCCTGAGAAGTGCCTCGCTCCATCATTCTGTAGCACCCCACCAGCAGTAGCCAATCTCCCTGCAGTGTCCTCTCTTGCTTCCTGCTCCTTCCATACCTTCATTTAGGGCTTCCTCCCTGTCTTCGGGTTTCTCCCAGGTATCTGGGGGTCTGCATTGCCCTAATGTGACACAGAAGAGGAGGCTGTGGGCCTCTGGCTCATTACAGCTGGAGAGATGCCTTTGCTTCGTGCTAGAAAAAAGCCAGGCGAGCCAGGCAGACTGTTCCCCATCACTTCTCCATGGCAACAGGCCTTCCAGACACACACATAGGCAAACCAGCCAAGGAGGCAGGCAGGGAGCGCCGACCCTCCACCTGAGCCCCAAACCTCCCCTCGTGGGGCTCACGTCATCCATGGGAAGCACATCCAAAACCAGCTTCCTAAATAACCATAGCTACACAGAGAAATGCTTCCCTTCTTCCACTGGTGAAGGTGCAATATCCCAAAGCTCAGTCCAGGCAAAATGAATCATGCCAGTGATCGTTTTTGTCCCTATAAAGGTGTCACACTTGAAAACTCCGGTATCGCAGCATCCTGTCAAACCAAACTGCACATCTGCCAGTGGAAAACCCAGAACCTTAGACCTGTTTAGATCAGCCTGAGAGGAGAAGGCTTGATGATTCTCTGACTTTAAGGATCCAGTACTTTTATGCTTAGAAATACCATTTTTGCCTGAACATGAAAATAAATGTGAATCCTGACAATTTAGGTGCAAAAAGGAGAAATAAGGCAAGCCAAAACCAGTCACAGGAACACTCTGCCAAAGGCAAAGAATAATAAATACTTCTTCAAACACATCAAGCACGGGAAGCCTGCTGGAGAGGCAGAAGTTGGCTGCAGTGCAAGAGGAGCATTCATAGGAGATAAGGTCAGAACAGACAAGAAGAAATAGTTTGCATCTGTAGTCAGCAAGGAAAAGCTCAGAGAAGGTCCTGCGCCAGAAGTCATCTTTATATGGACATGGCAGTGGCTTTGGCTCCTGTTCAAGTGTCATCAGCTGAAGTTGAGGAATAAATAGCCAAAGCAAAGAATGCAAATTCCCCAGGCTGAGCCGGTTCACCTGAGTGCTCAGGAACTCCGAGATGAAACAGTCTAATTACTTAATTGTAGCATGTAATCACTGCCTGATGCAGCCTCCGTGTCTGAGAGCTTCAAGGTGACAAATGGGAAGGGTTTGGGGTTATTACAGACCATGAAGGCTGAGATTCCCTCCTGGGCCAACTAATAGAAATTGCAATGAAGAATATGATTAGTGCACAGCTGGATACATCGGACATCCTGGGAATTAAAAAATGGGTGCTTTTCCTTGAATAAAGGAATGCTTCATAAATCTGTTACACCTCTGCAGAGGAGTCAATAGGCCTAGATTCCCAAAAGCTCTGTCACTGAAATGCAGCTACTGTGGGATTAACATAGGGTTTGAATTCTGTATGTAGGAATATATTGGAATAACTGGTTAAAGGATCTCAAAGAGTAGCTATCAACAGCTGCAGGAGGTGGGACTTGAATGGAGTCCCACAGGGACCTGTGCTGAGGGGCTGCTCACCTCAGCATAGTCAGAAATAATCTTGAACAGTAATTGAAAATAAAGAGGTGACAAAGCTTGCTGCTGATGCTACAGGGTCAGAAATACGTGAGATGCTAAAGACTTCTACAAGGGCTGCATGATCATGAAGAAGTACGTAATAAAATGGCTCAGGGCATCCAGAGCAGATAATTACAAAGATAGGCACACAAAGACAGGAGAAAAGCAGTCCCAGCTTCAATGGCACAGTACTGGGCTCTGCACTCATCCTCAGAAATGTCCTCTTTATCTCCCAGCTCCATCAGAACACCACCCCCACGAGCTGCATTTCTGCCTCACGCACTGCTCACTGGCTTTGCAGGGAGTACAGACCCAGGCAGTAACGGGAAGGGAGTCAGCAGGATGGGAAGCATAAACCCAGGACAGAGCAAGACGTTTCACAAGCCATGTGAGATTTTCGTTTCCTTGGTTCAAACTGAGACCAGGGTAATTTGTGGTGTCTCAGTTCAGCTCTTCTGACAAGTCACAACACCACTGAGACCTGGTGCTGAACTGAAGGTGCTGGAGGAGCTGGAGGAGCTGTCAGGTTGTATCTACCTATTGCTGTTCAGGAGTTTGAGGACAACAGTTATGGCCAGCTGCATTGGGAAGCTCATGGTCTCCCAGGAGGCCTCTCAGATACCATCTAACCACCTTCCCCCTTGGCCAGTTTAGTCAATTCAAGATGTTGCTGTCGAATTCATCGATTAGAAACTTCACTCTAATAAGGCACTGTAAGAAAATAACTTTCCCAACACTGGTGTGATTAAAATTAGGCAATACATCACAGCAGCAATAGCAATAGCTA